ACAATAGCTAAAGTAAAAGAAATAAAAATAAATATCAAAGCAAAAAATATTTGTAGAAAGTTTATAATCATAATAAAAGAATAAGAAATATAGTAAAGACAAAAACATAAACAATAAATTAGAGTTCCAATTCGGATAAATCCATTATCCTTTTATCTATACTGCAACAGGTAAACGGCGAGTCTGTCGCTCCAATGAACAAGACCTCATGTAACGTTACGAAACGGTGAAAATAAGGCTTCAAGGCGTGGATTGATTTGGGCGAGTATTTACTCTTATTTACTTTTGCCTATTTGTAGTTGGGTTTCTCTATTTAGTGACACTTTAACTAACTACCACTATCTCTTACTATTACTAAGGAACTTCAGTCCTTCCTCCCACTAGTTGGAGCACCCAAAAAGATAAGTACTTTATTAAAATTTGATGTGCTTTTTATACAATTTCATATTACTAATAATTTCTCTATTGAATTTAGTTTGCCCTTCTATTTTCCCACCATTCTGCCACTATGCCATCATGCTATCGTGGGTTTCACTTCGACGGGTAAGTATCGTTTTCTCAATTGTTTTGGTTTTACCTTATTTTATTGCAACCTTACTAACACGCCCCTCTATTACTTCAGATTTCACCACCTTGAAATGCCGCCGTTACGGTGTAATGCCTTCCTGAATTTGGCATAACCGTCTTGTCTTGTGTTCTTGGTGTGAAGGGGCTGATTATGCGTGTTTTGCTTTTTTTGGGGGTCGAAATGCATGTACGATTCGTGGGTCCTGATCATCGTTCATGCTATGTATCGTTATGCATGAATCATTATGTTTTTCTAGCCCATGACAATACCCAAATTTATCTGGATATCTATTTACTATTAATACCTAGATAATCCAACAGATATCCTGATAATTATCTGGATATCGATAGTAACCAGATATTCAAATATATTCAGAAAATAGATATCCAATGGATAAATGGATAAATAGATAATGGATTGAAACTCTACAATAAGTAGTAATACAATAAACAAATAAAAATTATTATATCTAAACTAGCTTGTAAATACAAAAGATGACAACCTAATTATATAAAGACAGCTTAAGAGTTTTTAAGAACTGTTATATAAAGAAAAAAAAGCTAAATAATTTAACAAAATAAAAAAAAAACACTTATAATATAAACAGATAAAAAAATACAAAATTATTACAAAATAAATAGCAATAATATAAGTATTAAAAATCAAGTAAAAAAAAATATCAGAAGACTAAAAAAAAAAGAATAGATTATACATAAACCAAAACACAACAAGCAACTCAGTAAAGTAATTAAAAAAAAGAAAAAAATATTAGCAAAGCATTTGCTAATATATAAAGAAGAAAAGAAAACATTTAAAGAAATAAATAAATACAAAGATTGTAAAAGTAGATTAGACAAATAACAGACAAATATAAAAGATAAATAAGATGAGACCTTAGTATAAAGATAATATCAGAGTCATTAATAAAGAAAAGCAATAATAGAATAAATATAACAGTAGAACAGTTATTAGAAAATAAAATAATAGAGAAATAAAAAAAGATAAAATGAAACTATTAAGATTAAACCAAACAGAAGAACTAGAGATAGAGCTAATTAGAAAACAAGAATTAAGTAGCATAATTGCAAACTATTTAATAGAGATTCTAATAAAAAATAAAAAGAAAGACAAAGAAAAATATATCTTTTATACAGATGATGCATTATACAAAAAAAAAAAAAAAATAGTATAGAAAGGATGAGTATTGGTTAGGTACAAGTAAAAGATGAAAAAGACTGGCTAAAAAAAAAAACTGTATTGGAATTGAAAAGATGGACTTCAGCAACAATAGTAGAATTAATAGCAATATAAACAGCAATTCTAACAGTACTAGAAAAGAAAAACATAAAAATATATATAAATAGCATTGCAGTATTAAGAAATATTAATAAGGCATTCAGAATACAAAAAATAAAGAGACTTTAAAAAGAAAAAATAAAATGTAAATAATAAATATTGTTTATTTCATCAGGAGCAAGAATGCTAAAATAGAAATGATTAAAGTAAAAAGTTATAATAAAGATAAGTAGAATAATAGAATAAATTCTTTTGTAAAAAAAAACAACTTGTAATAATATAATATATGCAAAAAAGATCAATTGTAATAGAATAAAGTATTATTTAGAATAGGAAAACAAGAAAATTGATATATTGATAAGATATTTGTATAAAATAATAACAAATCTCAGAATCAGAACTAGTTAGAGAGAAACAAATCTAATAAGAATACTAGAGCCAGAAACAAAAATACATTATATAATTGGTCAAGTTTTTAAAAAAAAATAAACAAAACATAAAGAGTTTATTGTACTTTAAGAAACTTAGTATAAGAAGAATCATAGTAATCAAATACATAATGAACAGCTTACTAATGCTTAAAGAACTAAACAGAAGAAGACTAGAAGTTTATACAATTGTAAAATACCAGGTATATCAGATAGAAAGAAAGAAATACAAGTACACTTAGCAAGTGTAGTGGACAAAAAAGTTTTTAAAAATGAATCCAAAAAGTTACAACAACAACAACATAGAATAAGCTTAAAAAAAAAGAAAAAAACAGAATTCCATCATAAGTATTATACAAGATGTTATTTAGAAAAACAGAAGCAAAAGAAATTATAAACAAGAAAGTGTTAATAAAAAAACTCATAATAGTAAAAATAGGAGAAAGAGTTGAATGACTCTTAAACAAGCAAGCAACACAAAAATGCATAGATAAAGTAACAAAAACAGTATGAAATATTTTTTATAATCAAGTATGGAGAATGCAATGTAAAAAAGTACAAAAATAAGAGAAAAAGACTAACATAATGAATAAAATAAAGAAAGGTACTTGTATAAAAAAAAAAATAGAAAAAAAGAAAAAAAAAATAAACAAATCAAAAAAGAAGAAAGAAAGAAAAACAGAAAAAACAAATCAAATGAAGACAAAAGCCTAGAAGACAATTAACATGCTTGTCACAAAAGAAAAAAATCTCTTTTGGTATGACTTTAAGTAGTTAGATAAGCACTCTATCTCTAACAAAGATAGTGTGACAGGTTGTACTTAGATACCATTAGGATGGCTGCGTAATGCTAGACTTAGACATTGAAAAATTCTATATAATTGTATATGTATATAGTTTCAAGAATCTTAATAAAGTACTAGCATAACTGCTTAAGGTTTAAAAAAAAAATTAACAATACATTTAATAAATTGGAAAATATCAAATAAAAAAATTTATAAATCAATTTTGATATAAAAACATACACAAAAATATTTAATAGGCCAAATATGATATATATATATCATTCTGAAAATATAAACTCAAAATTTTAACTATTGGTTTCTTATCTTATTCATTCATCTGTTGTTTTTACAGAATCAAAATTTGACACCTAATTGAAGATGTTATGAAGATTTCTATGATAAATTCTTCAAATACTATATAAATCCAACTAGTAATAGATTTTTATAAATATATTGCATTACACATCACTCTCTTTATAATGAACTTTCGATATAGTGAAGAATCTTAAATACAGAATTATTAAAATTCAGTAAAGTACATATAGTAATCGCTCGTTATGAGCTATAGAGAAATTTTTTTTTAGCCCAATAACTTCATTATAAAGAGAGTGATATGTATTATTTAATTCTCATTTTAAAATTAAAATAATGACTCCTCATTTGTTTGATTAGCGACAATCTATCTTTTCTTCGCCTTATAACACACAAAAATTCTTAAAAATATCTCAGTGCACCAATATTTCAGTCAATATTTGAAAAGCTCACCACAAGTACAAATAAATGAGAAATAAATCATAAGTTTTTAATTACGAATCAGTTTTAATTAAAACTAATCTAGTAATACTTAACTTTTTAGTAGCATTATGGAAGTTTTCATAGTACCTTACATTTCGGCATTACAATTAACAGTTTTCAACAGCACTTATTCTAATATTCAAAAATTAGAATAGTTCAAACATATATCCCTAAATACTTTCGTCATTAATAAGTCAATTGCTGAGATCCGGTTAGTTATTAAATCATATATATTTTAACGAACTTGAAAACCGAAAACCTTAGTCGTCGATTATCATTATCATCATTACATTGCTACTTGATGGAAATGATTTAGCTGCGGCTGCGTCGATCATTACGTCACGGCTAATTCAATGCGGACCAGAAGTTTGTTGATCACAGCCGTTGGCCAATCAAAATCGAGGATCAACCGTGCATTAATGAATCCCGCGCGTGACGCGCGAGAAACCGCGATTTGCCCATCTCTAATATAAACATTATGGAATAAGGCAAATAAATATAAAGTATAGCCTGACAAGCTTAGTAGCATGAAGAGAGATAATATTAAAATAATTACTAAATGCAGGCTTTACATATGTAAACATTATGATATAGAAAATATAAAATATAACCCGGCAAGGTTAGTACACGAATGTTCATATAGAAAGAAAATTAAAATAAGTTACTTAATGCAAACTTTACATATGCATTTATGTGTGTAAACATTAGGGTATAAAGAAAATATAAAGTATGCGTAGCATATCATGAGTTATGACATAGAGATTGAGTTACAACGCATAAAACAGTTACGGTACGGCACATACGCATGTTTCGATATTCCGTGACTTAAAATCGAGTGTTACAACGAGTTATAACTTAGTTACGATACGGCTTATCCCAATGCCTTGAGATTCTACGCCATCACTAGTACTAATAAAGCCGACCAATAAGGTTATTTTTCCTACATTAAGGGTAGAAAGAATATTTTCATTTAGGATCATCACTTCGAGATGTGCAATTCTGAGATCAACAAATCCTAAAAAATAATTCTGTTACCCAGAATCAGAGATACAGGATAATGTATAATGATATGCGAGTGATACAGTCACTTAAAAGCGAACTGGATAATTGGAAAAGTCTTACATTACCATGCCGGCCGATATTTCCTGCCTTGAAACTTTAGCATTAAATATCCTTAGAAATAGCTGTCCAGAAAAGATTGCAGAAAATGCTGATTTTTCGGAACTAGATCCTGCTCAAAATGTAATGAAGAACTTTTCTTACACGAAATAAAAAAACCATTCATCGTACTTATTTGTGAACACATACTCCATTGTCATTGTATCGAAAATTCTATTGGAAACAATCCAATTTGCCCCAATCCCAAATGTAAAAAGGAAATAGAATCAGGAATTGATACCACAGCCAAAAGTCAGGTGGGAAGCGCTGAGTCGTTAACTCAAAATACCAATGATCAAATGGATATTTCGTCATCTTTATTTAACGATTATCAAATATACCCAAGTGGCACATTATTATTCGAGACCACAACCAAGGGCATACTATTATTCGGGAACATGACCAAGGTTCCTCATGTAGTAGATACAACTACAATTCAAACATAGAAGCGTTTTAATGAGACTAGTTCTAAAGAGAGTTCCCCAATAAAGATTAAGAAGCCGGTCACTAACGAATTGATGTCCAATAATGAAGTTATGAAGGAGAGTATCCCAGGAGATATTACTATTTTTTTTTTACATTTTTTTAGAAAATTGATCATGCCGAATCTAGGAATGAAGTTACGAATCGAGAGGTTATCAATAGCTATTTTTATTTTGGAGGGGTTATATATAAACGATATAAAGAGTATAAAAAAAGTAATGGTAAGCAAGCATCCGATGCTCTAGTTTTTGATAACGTTAGAAAACAAATTCCAGAAGGGTGTCCAATGTCACTTTGCGGAAGAAAATGGAAAGAGCCCGAAAAATCTATAAACTCTTTATAGGCATTGTTAACGGGGATGATAAATTAGCAAAACAAAAAATAGCATTAATTAGATCATTTTCAGTACTTTCATTTCAAACTTAAGTCAAGGTGATATCGATTTCGTGATTGTAAATGTGTGAGATGGAATAAAGATGTGGAGTGAGAGATTGCGCCACATACTGCTCCTTCGTGACACGCGTGTAGGGTGCGGAAAAAAAGCCGGTTAATTAACAATGTTACACAATTGGTGCTTAAACCGAAATTAGTATATAGATATAAAACTCACTTTAACATAGTGATGGCAGAAAAAATCCGCGATCAGGTGATTGCGACCCAATCAACGATCAATGACTTAACATTAATAATACAGTAATATATAAATTTGTATGTTGATAGGTTCCGAACGATCAGAAATTACCTGATCGCGAATTTTTCTGCCACCACTATGTTATCTGGTTCCATTTGTATCTTTCATGTGCTGAAAGTGAATTTATCATACTAATGATATATACTAATTTCGGTTTAAGCATCAATCGTGTAACATTGTTTTTATGGCCTTCAAAAATTCCGTCAGAGATTCATGAAAAAACGATAAAAAATTACGTCTCACTTTTCACTATGTACATGTAAATGCGATTAAGTATGTGTCTGAAAAATAAAAATTGACATGAATGATCGAAATTTTTCAGGCAAACATTAATTCATGTTCTTTTACTTTTTATTATAGTTTTAGCAAATAAAATTTTGTACATATTATTTATTCGCTTGATACGACGAACCAAATAATGCAATGAATGCACCATACTTTACTGCGTGTCTATAACAATTTGTAAGATGTCATATAAATCAATGACAAAATTAACGCCAACAATTGTACCAGGCACAAATAGGATTTACTTATTTGTGCCGGTAATACAATCCAAAAAAGGAAATTTGATTTTATAAATAAACAAAGTGCATAAAACACGAATTTAGGGTTGGAACGT